GGACTGGAAGGGACTCGAGAGGTCATCAAGCCCAGTCTCCTGCCCTCACGGCAGGACCAAGCATCATCTAGATCATGGGTTCCCAAACTGGGGGGCGTGAAGAAATTCTGGGCAGGGGAGGGGACCCAGCCTCCCCCTTCAAGTTTTGTTGCCCTGTTCAGTTCCTTTTTTCCTTTTTCTTTTTTTCTTTTTTTTTTTTTTTGCTCAACACGTTTTGCTGCTATTTGGGGGGGGGGCGGAGTGAGGGTTTTTCAAAAATCAAAAAAGGAGCGTGATGCTGAAAAGTTTGGGCACCGCTGATCTAGAGGGCGAGGTCTGCTCCCTTATATGTCCAGTAATGGCGATTGTAAAACCTTCCTATTCCATTGCTTATCCACCCAGACAGTTAGGAAAAATTTTCCTAATATCTGATCTAAATCTTCCTTACTGCAATTTAAGCCCATTGCTTCTTGTCCTATCCTCAGCAGCCAAGGAGAACAATTTTTCTCCCTCCTCCGTGTAAAACCCTTTTAAATTCTTTAAAACAGCTAACATGTCCCCTTTCCGTCTTTTCTTTTTTTAAACTAAACAAGCCCAATTCTTTCAGTTTTCCCTCATATTTTATGTTCTCTAGACCTTTAATAATTTTCTTTGGATCTTCTCCATCTTTCTTGAAATGTGGTGCCCAGAACTGGACACAATACTACAATTGAGACCTAATCAGCACAGAGTAGAGCGGGAGAATGACTTATATCCTGCTCACAACAACCCTATTAATGCATCCTAGAATCATGTTTGCTTTTTTTGCAGTGTCACACTGTTAACTCATATTTTGAGTGTGGTCCAATATGACCCCTAGATTCCTTTCTGCAGTATTCCTTCCTAGACAAAATGGGAAGTGACCGTTTGTGTGAAACTGATTGTTCCTTCCTAAATAGAGTACTTTCCATTTGTCCTTCATCCTGTTTACCTCAGATCATTTCTCCAGTTTATCCAGATCACTTTGAATTTTGACCCTATCCTCAAAGCATTTGCAACCCCTCCCAGCTTTGTATCATCTGCAAACTTAATGGCTGCATCTAGACTGGCAAGTTTTTCCGCAAAAGCAGCTGCTTTTGTGGAAAAATTTGCCAGCTGTCTACACCATCCGCTTGAATTTCCGCAAGAACACTGACGATCTCATGTAAGATTGTCAGTGTTCTTGCGGAAATACTATGCTGCTCCCGTTCAGGCAAAAGCCCTCTTGCACAAAAGCATTTGCGCAAGAGGGCCAGTGTAGACAACATGGTATTGTTTTGCGCAAAAAAACCCCGATCGCGAAAATGGCGATTGGGGCTTTCTTGCGCAAAACTGCGTCTAGATTGGCACGGATGCTTTTCTGCAAAAAGTGCTTGGCATGTAGCAAATGGAGAGTCTTGGGATATAAGCAGCTTATTTTAGTACTACCAAGCCCCTTCCATTTCACCCAGCAATTATGTCTTGCCTTACACTAGGACTATAAATTCTTTGGGAGCAGAGACAGCACAGATGTATAATAAAAAACTGTACTTAGCACAATGTAGCCCTAAGTTGGTTTATGCATCTAGGTGCTATTGAAATGCAAAATTTGAGTAATTCAATATACATCCAAATTAAGGGCATTTACATATGGATCCACATTTTAACAATCTCGAGATAAAACACAAGGAGAAAACTAATGCTCAATTCCAGTATTCAATTTCTGAATGTTTTTGATAAGTGCTTGAAGTTATTACAATTTTCAAAGTATTTGTTTACATAATACGAATATCCTCTACCAAAAAATATTGGGAATGAAATGTATCCACATTCAATTAAAAGATAAATCTTACTTCTTAAGCTCCTGCAAATAATTACTCATAAGGAATGCCATTAAAGACAAAAAGGACAACTTTTTCAACCAGTGTAACTCAAATGAGCTATCATAATTCCTGGTAAGATGCTGGCTAACACATCTCTGTTATAGTCTATGCTCTCACGAAGCATCTTCCCTTGCCTACAAACACAGTCAACTAATGCATCTTCAGATATGTTAACCTTCATCTTAACAGGGTTCTCAATTGTGTTAATTTAACTCCACTGAGCTACCAGGATTGAAAAATATTCATATATCTTTTTTACCAATCAAGACAGGATTTAACGTCCACTGCTTACTAGTATGAGTAGTCCCAAGGAAGTCAATGCACAATGCCTGGTACTATGTTTGTGCAGCACTGAGCCCTTAAGAGGAACCATAAAAGCTTTGGATTAAGGAAGCATGCACCAACTTGTTTCTGCCTGATCTGTCACAAAGCTTGACAGTAACAGATAGCCAGTTGCATTAGTGTCAATGTTCAGATAAGTTTCTTTCAATATCTGTCACAAAAAACAGTGACTGTGTCAGCTATATTATCAGTCACTATAGAGTTGATCATACTTAATAACACCTTCAAGTATCACAGACTGCAACTACTATAGAACCAGACCGTTTTGACTTCAAGCTGGTAAGAGCATTCATTTCATGAGTGGCTGCATTCCACCCTCTTTCCCACTCATACATTAACTTGCCTCCATATGGAGCCAGAGTTTGTTTTTGAACTCTTAACAAGATCACTGAAAGGAAAAGGAGAGAAATCCTATCAATGTGCTTCTGGACTGTTTCCAGAGTTGTGTAGTCTCTTAACAATTGCTCTGGAAGCAGGCCAAAAATGGGCAATGTTCTTGCAAATGAACACAGTGCAATACTCTAATACACGTTATCGTTTAATTCCTTTGTCAACATCACTGTGGTTAGAAATTAAGAAGCCTTTTCAATAAACAATTGATATGAATTCCAGTTACCAAACACGGATTCCCTTGCCCACTCCCTTTACCCCAGCTTTCCCTTTGGCTGGGCACTCTCTCTCCTTTACTCAAAGTCAAAGAACATTAATATTATAAGTATAGACCTATCCAGTTCACATCAAGTGTGAGTTAACTAAGATGCTTCAAAAAGAAACAAGTGTGTCACTAGGGAAAACCTTTTAAAATTTCAGAAAATGCTTTGATGGGGGTGGAATGATTTTAATACTTTTAACAGAGCCTAGACACAGAGTATTGAACTAATCTGTGTGAGCAGTTTTTCACATTATAATTCTTAATGAGATCATTCGCCACACTGTCGAAACTCAGTCCTTTCCCTCACACTGCTGAAAGAGATGTGTAGTGCTGGAAAGGTCCCAGACTAACTCCACACACTCCAACTATGTACTGAATCTTCCCTTGTAAACCCTTGCTGAAGACAATGATGTGAGCTTCCTGAAGACTAAGGATTCAACGTGAGACACAGCTTGCTCTCTTCGTTTCAGTATGAGCCAAATCCTTCAGCACTTTCCAATACTTACACATGCAAAAACTCTTATTACACTCAGTGTTTGCAGAGTTTAGTCTTATATAACCCCCCAATAAGTTAGTTGTGATACTCCCTTAATTCTTTAATGTCTGTATTGGTTTTACTGTTTGGTGTTTTCTCACTTTCAGATTTATTTATTTTTCCTGCAGCATTACAAACAAAGCAAGTATGCTTCTATCATACACTATAAGGAAAGTATGATCATTTGAAATATCTTGAACACAGAAACTGATATGCTATTACTCAGTATGCAAAGTACCTTCCTAGTACTATCTAGAACTTTTTTTTTTTTTGTTAAAAGTGGAACACCCCAGTTTTGCCACAGTTATGTTCAGTATTACTTTCATACCGAAGAAGCTCTGTTAAAGTCAGTGGGGACACTACGGCTATGTCTACACTTGCAGCTTCTTGTGCGAGAAATATGCAAATGAGGCTAAGCGTGGAATATCGCTGAGCCTCATTTGCATACCTAATGAGCTGCCATTTTTGCAGAAGAGGCTCTTGTGCCAGAAGGAGCTGTTTACACTGGCCCTTCTTATGCAAGAAAACCCCTCTTGAGCAATGCCGTTATTCCTAAAAGTAATCAGCGTAGCAGCATTGCACAAGAGGGTTTTCTTGTGCAAGAAGGAGCAGTGTAGACAGCTCCTTCTGCTGCAAGAGCCTCTTCTGCAAAAATTGCAGCTCATTAGGTATGCAAATGAGGCTCAGCGATATTCCACGCGCACCCTCGTTTGCATATTTCTCATGCAAAAAGTCGCGAGTGTAGATATAGCCTACCCGAAGATTAAGTATATGAACACTGATGACAGAATCAAGGCCTAAAGAGATTGTTTTCAAAAAGCAAGTTACTTTGAGATTTTTATTCAGTAGCCAGGTCAAAAATAATCCTGTGTGTTACTGTTAACTGTAACTGCTTTCCTAACACTGCCAGGTGTGCTATATGTTAAAACTGCAAAGTAAAAAAGCTTCGCATAGTTATGAAGTTACTGATAATTTAACTAGTCCCAATGTGATCAATAAAGATCCCAAAAGTTTTATTTTTAAGATTCTAGCTGAATTAATGTTTATTTGGTGTATCTTCTATACAGTAATAAATATGCTTCAGCACAAATTCCATGTACCCTGAACTTTATATTCCTTGGAATATTACATCACAAAGCATGGAAAAACAAAAAATAGTTTATATAATGTGGACAAATGATAATATTAATAAGGTCTTCTTGGCAAGATATTATCTGCTCAATAGTATTACATATAATGTGGACACATGATAATGTTAGTAAGGTCTTCTTAGCAAGATATAATCTGCTCTATAGCATTACAGAGAACTACAGGGCATGTCATCCTTACCTTATTTCTATGTGACGTGTAATTCCTGCAATTCTATTTGCACTGAATTGTGCTCTGAATTGCCGATTTGCATTTTCAGAATACAAAACATGCAACTGTTGACTTCCATCCTAAAAAAGCTGATTTATTTATGTTAGTGTGAATATAGATTCAGATGCTCCAAGTATTAGTATTAACATATTTTTATGCAAAGACAAAAACAAGTGTTCTATATTCACAACTGCAATTGTAGGATATTACTACAAGTGTTTACTTTTATTATTAAAAGTGTAGGTTTACTCACGTTCACAAGTGTCTCCTTTTTGCTGGTACCCAGCTTTGCAGATACACTTTCCAATAGGAACTAACCATTCTCCTTCTGCACTACAATGCATCCTAGGAGAGTTATCAGCCTCCTCTTCTGCGCTGCTCACACAAGTGCCTCGTACCTCAACTAGAGAGGAAAACTCTGAGCCAGTCACTGTATCTGGAAAAATAGCTAAGTTCTCAATAATAGACCAGCATTTCTTGTAGTAGACTTTGACAGAAACCAAAGCAATGCAGGCACCTACATCTTGAAATGCAAGATAAAATCCTTTCTTGGACAAAGGTCCAATTTCTCTCACCTCTGTGTTAAGTTTCATTTTTCTCTCTCCAAGGTCACCTTGGGTAAAACTTTCATCTGCTGCAATAGTGTCTATTTTTACGTATTGATTTTCTCGGATATTCCTGCCAGTGTCGTAGTCTGTTTCATAATAATACAAGTTAAAAGTTTCTTTACATGTCCCCAGTACTCCAGGAAGACTGTTACAATCCCTCAGAGTGAATTTCAGTTCTACAAAAATCCTTTGAGCATTGCCTTTTGCAATCCAGTTAGTCCGTAGCCAGTTATTTTGGTTAGGTTCCATGACCTGGCATACCTGGTATGTTCGTATAGGAGTGTAATTTTCATCCAGTCCACTAATTTCTTCCCACTAAAATAGCAACAAATAGTTATTAATACAAAATAGCACTTTGCTGAGATACTAAATCCATACATATATAAATATATAAAAATACTGTGACACGGATCTAGTCTTCCTTCTTCGTAAACAGTGAAGCCTCATAAAAATATTGTAGTATTTTTAAAATGCAAATATTTTGTCCAGGAAAAGCACAAATTGAAGGTGCTAACAGCTCTCTGAGCAGCATTCTTCCTGTCTCAGCAATCTATCTATTGACTTTGATCTTTATCTGCTTAGGTTTAAGTACCCATTCTCCAGATACTTAATGATGCCCTGTTCCCCCATACACTCCACCACCCTTCCTCTTTCCTTTCTCTTCCTCTCTCCTATTTATTTCCAGTTTTCATATCCCCTACTCATAACTCTACATGTTTTGTTAGTCTATAAAGTGTTGTTTTTTTCTGTAACAGACTAACTCGGCTACCCTCTGAAGCTCACAAATTGTAATGGTGTTTTAATTTGTGTCCCCTGTATTTTAGCATGTAAATAACCTTCAAAATACATTATTCATGTTACAGCAGTTTTCAGTTATGTTGATTACAAGTTCTAAAAAGTATTGTACAATAAATACTCAAATCCTGATTATAATTGGGGTTCAGTCCTATGTCCTCTTACATCAATCAGAATTATAGGTAAGCAAGGAATGAAGAAGGTGATCAATGATGTGCTGCTAGAAACAAATCTACAACTAACAAAGAAGTCTTAGAACCTGAAAGCCCTTAATCTTGCTGTCCTTGCATACCTAAACCTCACTTGACACTTTTTGGTGCACAAGCAATGTGCCCGGAATCTTTATTAATCACTGGAATCTGCATTTGAAATTACTTTTACACATCAATTTATGGCTCTTATGTAATCACCATCACATATTGCAGGGAAAACAATAAACTAAAAATGAAAGGAAAAAAGATCACAAAGATGACATACCTATCTGTTTTATCATTGTATGAATTTAGGGACACTTAGGTCCCATTTTAAAGCTACAAACCTGATCCTACAAACCCCTACTTATATGAATAGTCCCACAGACTAATGGAAAAAAAATCTTACCTCACTACAAACATTTTAAGTCGATGACATCACACATTTGAGTAAGGGCTAATCATTTGAATAAAAAAATCCAAGTTCAGGGCCTTCCCTTTTTTCACTTTTCAGTCACCACAGTATCTGGGTGCTAAAATAGTTAATGTAAAATAATTGTGTTGTCTCTATGAATTTGGAATCGAATCCCAGACCTTCTGAAGTCAACATCAAAACTCTCACCGACATCAATTGGGCTATGTTTAGACCCTTATTCCAGATTTACCCAGGTAAAATTAAGAGCAGAATCTGGCATTTACACCTTTTGTAAATGAACTGCAGTGCACAGTTCATAGAAAAAATTACAACTTAAAATGGGGATCTTTTAAAGAGTTCAGTAAGTTAAAGGCTGTCAAATAGCATAGCCTACTAGAGTACAATCCCTTCAAGCACTCAGACTGTTTCAACAAACCATGTAACCACATGCATAATGTTGAGCACATGAGCAGTTTCACTGATGTTAAGCATGTGCTCTGTTAGATTGGCTACAGCACACAGCACCTGTCAGAATCAAGCATCTACAGAATGTCCTGTCACTGGTAATCATGAAGGGAAGGCAAACAGTAACAGATCTTTCTTTCCCAGACCAAAAGTCACGCAGTACGTAATACTTCATGAACCTACTTGACAGCAAATGAGATTGTTTAATATTGCTCTACTACTCCAAGAAAAGTAAATGTTGATGAACTGATGCTGGAAGATATTACCACAAAATACATTATGGCTGAAAGTGTTGAAATCCACAGAAGTTGTAAATATCAAAATACATTTCAAAGTACTTCAGTTACTATAGATATGGTAACACATCTGGTACTAACTTACTGTAAAATACTATAAAATGCCTTTGTAGTTAACAAATGATTACATATTAAAATTTAATACTCTCTTAGAAAGGAAGAAAGCTTGTCTTCATTATACATTTAGTAGATTTTAACTACCAAGATTATTTTTCCTATATGCTCTAGTAGAGATAAGGTTGGAAATAAACAAACAAACAAATAAAATAGGCATTAGCACAGTACAAAAACAGTTTACAAAAAGGAAGTTGACTTTAAGCAAGCTTGTCTAGACTGCAAGCTTCTTCTGGAAGAAACTTTTCCAGAAGAGATCTTCCAGAAAAGTTTCTTTTGAAAGAGAGCATCCAGACAGGAAAAGCGCATTGAAAAAGCTATCTGCTTTTTCGAAAGATAGTGATTGGATGTTATCTCACATTTAAGTTGTGATTACTATGTACGGAGTGGCCACCAGGGCCACCTGTGCTTTTTCCTGGAGGCTTCTTCTTTCGAAAAAAAAACTTTCTTCCCCATCCACACATGCCTTTTTCCAAAAGAGCTCTTTTGGAAAAAGGCTTCTTCCATGTATAAAGAGGTTTACTGCTGTCAGAAAAACCCCTGCGTTCTTTCGACTTTCTGTTGAAGTAACACAATTGCAGTATGGACGTAAGTGTAGTTTTTCCTGGAAAAACGGCTGTTTTTCTAGAAAAACTCTGCAGTGTAGAGAGAGTCACTTTGCTGCTCTCATTCTCAGTTTCATTTTGAGCATTTTATATTTTAACTCATGTAAGCAGTTTTGCCATCATAATCGAGATTCTGCTTCTCAGATATTCCCAAGTTACAACAGTGTTACACCTTTGAAGTCAATTGAGTTACCCTAACATATCCAAAAAGCAAAATACAGACTACTGAAATCTGCAATCCTCTGCATCTCTTTTTGTCCTGCCCCTCCACCCTAAAAAAAACCATCCCCGCAGAACAATTATACAAATACAAACCTCTACATTGGGTAGAGTAACACAAATCAAAAGAAACGGCAATTGTGCTTGTTAAGATTCAACAGCCCCAATGTAATTAAATGTTAGGGGTGCTCAGATTACTTCTTTGTATGGAAAAAAAATCCAGTAGAGATAAACTCTTATGCTAACACCCATCATCTCATCTTCCCCATCTTTCTAAAACCACAGAGAAGATCAGGACAGTTCAAATATTTCTTTTTGGTTTATCTGAAAAAAAAATCAGTAGTCATAGGATTCATATTCCCTCCCCTGGGTTATAGATACTTTGGAGCATAACTATATTTGTCCACCATATTTGAAAACTACTGCTTAGAAAATCTCTCTATTTCTCTGCATCCCACTGTTATGAGTGAAATACATATTGCATACCTACACCCTATTACATACTATTTCCTTAGTTATTTCAAACATATTTTGATGCTACTCAGGGCCAGAGAGTATATTTGTCACTGAAATTTAACTTGCATATGATGATGTATTGGTTTATCTTTATGAAGAGAAAGTACTCTCCTCAATTTGTGCATGCTTCCATGGTATTTGTGCTGGATGGAGGAGAATTAAAGGCAGCTGAATTTAACAAAAAATAATACCAAATTTTTAATTTCAAACACCATTAATACATTGTAATTTGTTGTTAATGTATAAGAAAATACTTTTTAGCTATCTTTACTTCATTTGACTGTTATTTTGAATTCTCAAAATTCCTTTGAATCCATATGATGACAAAGTCACCTTTTTACCATTTGTACATTATTAGCCTACTATGTTTCCACCTTTCATCCTCAAATACATTGGCAAAGTTCACACTTTCATTACCTCCAGGCTAAACTACTGCAATTTTCTTCTAACTAATCTTTCAGACACCTCTATTAAAAAGCTTCAATCAATGCAAAATGCTAATGCCAAAGTTATTATCTATCTTAAGCGTTCAGCTCACATTACATACTTTTTCAAGTCTTCAGACTCATTTCCAGTTTGTGCTTGTATTGATTTTACGATCTTGCTTTTAAACTAAGACACTTTCAGATTTTCATTCTTCTAATTTAAAGGATTTGTTACACTTTTATATCCCCATTCATACATCATGCTTTTCTGGCTCCAAATTTCTTAATGTACTCAAGATTAAGAGCCTGATCCCGCAAGCTCTTATTCATTTGAATAGCCCCAACAAAGTCTGTGAGGTGGCTTCCAGGAGTAAGAGCTACGGACATGACTTCAGATTTGTAGTTCTAATGTAAAAGCAATCAGGCATACTCTTCCCTTTTGAAATATTCTTCCTCAAGACATGAGGGATGTGATTTTTTAATTAAGAGCTGAAGACACAGCTTTTTTGATAACTTTAATAGACAAAAATGGCAATTAGCATAGGATATATTTGTATAATGATATATTTGTATGTTGACGAGTTTTCATAGGACATCTTAGAATACATTTGATCTAAAAAGTTATTGAAGTATGTAATCCAAGCCACAAAATTTGGACCTTCAACCAGATTACAATCTCCTCAAAGTCTGGAGATGATCAGATCTGGATTTTGATTTAGACCTATCTCCAATACAGATGTTTATATTTCAGAAAATGTCATACTACACTATTCAATTACAACAAATATACTGTATATAAATTTCTTGTCACTTTTCATTTGGAAAACATCAAATAATATGTTCTCGGGCAGTTTCTATATTCAAATATATTTGTTGTCTTACAGTGCTTCTAAAAAGAGAGAGAAAAGAAAAAATATATTTAAAATAGTGTCACAAGTACACAAAGCCTTTTAATATACCACAAAGGATTACACTACAAAGAGTAAAGCTAATAAAGGGGTTTAAGTGAGTTACTGAATAGACATTTCCTTGTAATTAGCTTGCTATTGTACACTGTAACTTGAGGTATGCTTCTTTTCACAACAGACACTTAAGAGCTGTAAACACTCACTATGATTAGTGAGGGAAATTTGGGAAATACCAGCCTGTTTAAAACATTTGTCTAGATGAGACACCTGGCAATGTTTGGAGGATTTTTTTTTTTTTTAGTACTTACCCCATGGGGAGGAAAGGAAATCCACTCCAACTCTGTCTGTTGTGCTTTAGAGTCCAGCAATATTACTGCAAGAGAAAAAGTATCTGCTATATTCTAAGGAAATAATTTAAAATTTAAAATAATAAAAAAAAACTAAATAAAAAACATTGTGATAAAAGTCAGCAAGAATGTATATAAACTATTTATTTTATCATTCAATGTTGTTAACTAAAGGAATATATCATGTATATTCACCAACTATATGCATGTTTGTAATTTTAAAAGTTTTCATAAATATTTAAGGTAAGATATTCATTTTTTAATAAGCAGAATGCTTAATTCTTAATATTTGACTGCATATTTGTCTATGCCTTACATATTTATACTTACCAACTTATTATTTAAGTGTCATAAAAATTCTAAGATTTAATGGAAAATATCTGTTCCTCTCACTCCTTCTTACAAATGATATTCCCCATTAAAATTCAGACTTCAAAAAAAATCACCAATACTTGAACATTGACCAAACTGATTTGGACACTTTTGGACACTGTATCTTGCTTGGATTCACACTCAGAAATCAAGGGGAGTGCGCAAGAATGGATGGTCCCTTAACATTTGTGAGACTGTTAATTTAAACAAATAAATATAAGACAAATAAGGTTCTACAAAATAAGGCTTTGTACTTACGTAACATTTGCATTTTCAAAGCACTGTACATGCATATTAGTAAGAATTAATTATTATATTTTCATATTTGTATACATATCCAATGAGACTTCTACAAGAAGTTCTGATACACAAAGCTGTTAATTAGATGTGACTTGCTGGTAAAAATGTTTAATGCAGACTTCTCAATCTTTGTCCAGTAAGATTAACTCAAATTCATCCATTAATCTCAATCCATTAAATCAAAATATAAAATGTTCACTTTATTATATATTGAGGGAAATCATATTTGGTTGACTATGAGCATGAGATTATGTTGAATTAAAGTAATAAATTCTGAATATATTATTGCATATTTTCGCAGCATTTCTAAATAGCACTTACATTAATTAACCTTGAAATTTCAAATCAACTGTAGGAAGTAACTTGTTAAATTGTATTTTAAAAAATAATCTTGTAAACTGCAAAGACATAAATCCCAATGTTATCTCTGTCCATACATGCTATCTTTTTAAATCAAAAAGTCATTTATTGTTTGACAAGTAAATGCTCTATTTTAACAAAAGAGAAGCACATTGCAATTTCAGATCACAGCATACATTTGAATTATATAAACGTATTACATGTCTGACAAAACTAGATGTAAAAGGCTACATAAATAGTTACATATAATTCTGCTTTAATTCTTTAACTTCATTAACTTTTTGTTCTGTTGAGCAATACTTTGGTTGACAGCCTGAGTTATAATAGTATTTTAAAACATTATTAGAAGAACCACAACACATTTTTACATAAAGTTTTGTGCTGAAACTATAAAAATAATAACTTTCATTTCTGTATGTCAATATGTATTTGAGCTAGACAATTAATTTCTGAAACGAGAGAATAACCATCTTGTCTTCTTAATTAATTCATCCAACTATCTAAGGAGGTTTAGCTAGTAATACCACCTAAAGAAGAGTTGGTGATATCTGTGTTTACTTCTTAATTGAGGACAATCCCATTAAGCTAAAAATTTAGGTACAGTTCACATTTAACCCTTTCATCTTCATGTCCATGCAATATTTGATGCTGTATTCTAGCAGTAATGCAGATGAAAAGCCAGCACCACAGAGATGACCTTTACATAAATCATGTGTTGTACTCCTCACTGCACTAAAAGTTATTGGGAAGTATCTTTCCTAATTGCACTTTGTACAATGCTTTGAATTGGTAAAATGTTATATGGGATGCTCATTTTTAGGGGCTGGCTTCTTTTCTTTTCTTTTCTTTTCTTTTCTTTTCTTTTCTTTTTCAAAATTTATGTGGGTGCCAGACTTTTTTATTATGGTTAGAGTGTGGCCCTATTCTGAAATAGACACTTTTCCCAAGAGGTGTGAAACACTCCCCATCTACTTCCCAAGCACCTCTGAAGTTCTTCTATGCAATGAGCAGGAGCTGAGGTCACGTCTATATTTCGGAACTTCTTACTGGAGAAACTAACTGCCCAGTTTTAAAGACAGTCAAGTCTGCCTGGTTCACTGCGCTAGAGCGGACACAAGACAGAGCTGGAGAGAGAGAGAGAGAGAGAGAGAGAAAGTCTTGAGGGAAGTCAATGGGAGGCTTTTTAAATCCGTCCTGAATCTCACTCACTCTGTTTCTCACTCACTCACTAACACACACACACACTCACAGCCCCTTGCGCTTGACTTACGCGCCCAGCCAGAGGGACGCGCGGATTGCGGAGAGCCAAGGGCAGCCTCCAAGCCGCCGACAAGTCCTCGGTACCTCTGACCCACGCGTGTTCTCCGGGGAGCTGAGATCGCCCCATAAACCATCCGCGGGCCCTCACCTCAGGGCCGAGGTTAAAATGCCGCCCAACAGGACATCTCCGTGCCCAACTCACGGGTGCAGTAGTGGCCCCCTTCAAGTCAATGGCAAAGGCGCCCTTGTCTTCAACGGGGCCAGGGGATCCCCTTTCCCCAGCCGCGGGTTTTAGGATGGAAGCTGCCAGCAGCCGCAGCCTCCGCGAGGCAGGAGGGAGCTGGGTCAAACGTGCTCTTTAACCTGCGAATCACCGCGCCGCGCTTCCAATCGATGCCTCGAAGGGAGCGGGACTCACCCCCCCAGCAGAAGCCAGCGCGCACCCCAACACCGGGCCCGCGTCTCCAGTCCCCCCACTTAGGATCGGGCTGTTAAAACAAACCCGATCCCTTTATCCTAACCCAGCCTGGCTGCGTAACCTCTGCCCTGCAACCCCCTGTCTGCTGGTGACCCCACGCCGTCACCTTCTCTGCCTATTGATCCAGCCCCAGCAGGGAAAACTTTGGGACTTCGCTAGTTTCCGACGGCGCCTGCACAGGGATGGGTTCTCTCCCCACCGGAGTCGGGGAGGGGCCGGGGGGCAAGGAAAGTTACTTTGCGCCGGTTTCCGAGCCCGCAGCAGGTTACCAGCCGACATCCCTGCCGGGTGCGTCCCCTCCTCCTGCCAGCTCAGCCGCGGCACAGCCCACCGGCTGCTTGCCGGGCGCTAGAAGCAGGGACACAAACTCAAGGTGTACGCGGGACGCTGGCCTGGCGAGCAGAAAGCCACAGCTCCTAGGACTCTCCCCACGTAGCCTGCGCAAAGCCGGCAGCTTCCCCGCCCTCCCTTGCCTGCCTGCACTTCGCTCCCGCTCACCTCCCCTATTCAGCCTCCCTCGCCCTTCCAGGGGTTACTTTATTAGTCCATTGGAAAGTTTATCTGAAGAGACTTAAAAAATGCCGCCCAAGAAGATCCTTTGAGCCGTCCCCCCACCCTTAACTGAAAGAAAGCTGATTTCTAACGCTCCAGCTACAGGTTCAGAAAGATGCTTTCCCTTATGCCCATGGTTTCTACAAGAATACTTACACATTTGGGAGAAGAGAGGGGGGAACCCCAACCCTTCTCTTCCCAAAGATGGAAACCCCATTAGCAGAGTTGAAGGACTTAGCATTTTTGGATCCTCATCCCTCCCATACGAAAAGAAATACCCGGGCTGACTTTCTGCATTGATTTGAATGGTAACCGCAGACAGAAAACTGCCTGTCCTCTCTTTTTAATAAGAAATGGGATGCGAGTGTGTTTATGTAAAAATGCAATGTGGGAATGATGAGATTTCTTGAGCGCTGTTTGAGATAAGCGGATGGAACGAAAATCTCTATAGACATCTAGCCAGGGGTGTCTACAGATGACTAGATAATACCCAATATGTATTGACCTACAGCTAGAATGCATGCATATATCCCTACAATACATTTAATGGTACCCCACCATGATCCATGCCACATCGTTCCGCGTAGCGTCTCAGTGCCAGCGGCTTCAGAGACCTGCAGGCCCGTCGCAGCAGGCAACGGAGAAGTGGACTTTATTAGCTAGCTTATCACTACCTGGGGCACGAACCAAGTCCCCCAACCCCTTTGGGGCGCGTCCACAGTCTTGGAACTCCACTGCAGTCCTGGCTTGTGACACTCGGGTTGCCTGCGCCTGGCAAACTACAGTAGATTTAACTGAAGGGGGGCGTATCCGCACCTTTAATAGCAGTATTAACAGCAGTGCCATTAACAATTCTATAGACAGTATCCCCTGCATGCTCCCCCACCCCAGTATATCCGCTCCTCCGCCGAGCCATGTCTTTGCATCGAGTGCAATGCCTCACAACCCCAATTCCTTAAAGGAAATGCAGTTTGTCCTGATCTCTCACACACTGCCCGGGGGAGGAGGGAGATGCCTCTCCCCACCCCAGCAAGAAGCTGATTAAGGGGGAACATGCCGTTTGCAATAGACCAGGCAATAAAAAACCACTGAGCTGGGTGCGCAAGGAAGTAAATAACCCCAAACTTTGTTTTCTGCATCACCTTACCTTCTTTTGCAGCCTGTGCCTCCCCCGTGTGTGCAAAGCGAAACAGCCAGACAGAGCATATAATAATCCAAGAAGGGAGCCTAGTTTGAAAAACCATCATGCAGGAGCAGGATCTTTTTTATATTTACGGTACGACCGCTGCTGCTGCTGCCGCCGCTTGGTGGGGATTAAAGGGTTTGCTCTGCTGTGTATTTTATGTTGCCTTTGCATGGAGCTCTCTCTCCCCTGGCTGCCTGTTCCTCTTGCCTATTCCTTAGCGCGCACCGTATTTGCTGCCTGCGAGTCCCCGACTGCAGCCTGGACTCGAGCTCCACACTCCAATAATATCAATTGGGGGCGGAGGGAGGAGGCGGGACCGGAGCCTGGAGAGCGTGCCGTCCTTCACAGTGACTGGCAGCC